TACTCTCATTGAGTAACGTAACGGAATACGTTACAGAATACATTTTGGGGCATGTAATCTGTAATCTGTAATGGAATACATTTTAAAAGTAACCTTCCCATCACTGATGAGGAATGATTAAAATGGTTCAGACAGCAGGACCTAAAAATCAAAACCTGTTTGAGAGAATCTATTTTAATGTATTCAGTCATCCTTCATCCTGCAGCTGCTATTTTCAGGTCATGGAAGCTGCTGTTGTAACCACGCCCACTCTGTGTTCTCCACCATGGACCTCAAACTTGCACAGCAAGCAAAAGTCAGCTGGAACAAGATGCAGTTGAATGTGAGACCAGCCAAATCTAAATCAGGCGAAGCTTTTGATTTGTCAGAACCTTCTGATCAGACCCTGTACGTGCATTTTTGTTCTTCTTCACAAGCCTTTCCATAAAAAGATTTGAACCTTAATCTCCCCTACACCTTACTCCAAGTGAATCTTTACTGATCTGGTGCATCACCGTGTTTGTGTGAATAGTTCATAAGACTGTTTAAAGCCAGAAGCCTTCAGAAGTGTTCAACTCTGGACCAACCTCCTCCCTCTCCACAGATCGTAACACATTTAAATGAAGATGCCACGAGGGCGAACAAGAACAAGAGCAGTTAAAATTAGAGAAGCAGTCTGAAGTTTTAATGCTCTTGGAAGCAAAGTGCATGTGAGTGACAGTGGGGATCACGGCCTAACTGCGTGGGAGATATACCTGCAGATGCATGCAGGAGTCAAGGACATGATTAGCATCAGTGTGACGTGCTCGGCATGTGTGCAGCGCTGCTGGAAGGGCTACTCTTGTATTTCACAGATAGAAAGCAATAATGCCATTCACAACCAGCTCTGCTCTATTCATTCAGCATCACAAAGAAGTATGGAGCATGCACTGCAGCTGTATGTACCACAATGTGACCCATAAATGAAGTTTTTCCACAGTTTTATGAGAACTATTCATCTGACAACTTTAAAGGCCACAAACGCAGACAAAACAGCAATAGAGCAGCATATTAAAAAACCATCCACGTTGCCTCTGCTGTTCCCTTGCCCCTGCTGCAGATTTATGATTTATTAAAGAGCAAGAGGTGTCAAGCACAGCCTTGGTCTCACTGAACCTTTCTTGACACAGCACTGCTGCATACAAGGCAGGCTGTAACTTACAGCTTATTCCACTCTAATAGTTGATTTTGCTTCTCCCTCACGTGGCAGCAGCAGCTGTATCGTGTGTTCACATGGCACATTAGTGCAGAAGGATTACATAACATCAAACATAATGGCCACTTATGGTCAAACTCGGGGGAATCTATTTGTTTTCTTCCACATTTTATTCTGACTATTGATCATGTGCACTCAAACACAGCAGTGTGGGGGAAGCGCGTATTGCAATCCAGTACAACACCACCACAGGAAGCAGCTGCAAGGTCCACAGTAACAAGCGTCCCACAGGTTGCGTTCATTGCAAGGCTATTGCATGATATCAAACATTGGTCCTTGTTACTGTTTCTATTTCCTGAATCTTGTCTGTGAATACACAACTTTCATAAAGATGTGCGATACAAAATCTGCACAGATACCTTCACTGATGAATGATTTGCTGACTTTTGGTGCATCTTTGTGATGGTTTCTCTCTTGTATTTCAATGTTTGTGTTGTTTTTGATGCAAGTGTTCGTTGCTGAGTTTGTGAATTGTGGCTGGTCACATGAGCGCATTCACCTCCCAGACAATCCCCCTGTTCTAACAAGGACAGGTCTGGTCAGGTAGCCACAGTGTTTATTTATGGAGATCTGAAAATTCGACATCGATGGCAGATTTACTAACCAGGGCAAACTAGCGTGACGCCACAGTCGATGGAAGTGGGAGGTTCTGTTGGCGATCTGCTAATTTCTAAAGATACATAGTTTGTTTTAATGATGACCAGCACAAGAGCACTGTCCATATGCAGGCAGAACCAATCAGGATGTGAGTTTCATGTTTGTGCTTCTCTCTGGAAAGACAAACTCTTCTGTTAGAGTCTGCCGTGGACGATGCACAGTCTTGTAGCTCGAGACGTTCATTCTCTGGCTAATTCTGACAGCTCAGTTAGAGCACAGATCGCAGCTTTATTACAAATGAATCCATGATATGAATCTGTTTGTCATTACTGACCTGTGTATATGTAGATGTCACTTCGTGACCCAGCCTTTTGTTAATGACGTTGCTATTACTTTGTCATTAAATGCTCTTATCTCTGCAGGCTGTGTAAGTGTGAGACTGCGTGCATTTTTTAAAGTCAAACTTTACAGATTGTAGGATTCAAATATGAATCTAACAGATGTCAGGTCTGAATTTGACACATTTCTGCATTTTCATTCAGTTTGTAACAGATCTGATACCAGAGAGAAGTTAAACAACATCTGCTCATTGTGTGCACGAGGCTGTGAAAACACAAGCAAGAGACACAAAACTGATCTGTGGAGAAATGTAACTAAAAACTGGAAACACTGCAAGCAGCACTGTAAAGTAGTGATGGTAAATTTGATTCTTTTTACTGAATCGAGTTTTAATGAGTCACTCACCAAAGTGAATCGGATTTTTGGGTCATTTGATTCACTGAGTCAGTTGACCAGAGAGTGCAAAAAATTTACATTTTCACTCAAACTTAATTTGTTTCTCTTTTCATGTAAATCCTACTGCTCAGATGAGTGATTCTAAAAGAAAACAACTATTTTTTAGAGCAAAAAAATTTCTAAAATTAAGCAATTTCCTATCAAAATTGCTTAATAAACATTTATTTTGTTTATTTGTATTTTATTAGTATTTTCCTTAAATGTGTCAAATATATATTTTCTCATCTAAATGTCCACTGAGCTGTGAGCCAGGGGGCGGTAATGCGCCTTAACATTGGTTGCCAACCAAGAAGAAGAAGAAGCTGTGAGCCAGGAGGGGGGGGGTGAGTAGCTGAAATGTGCTGTTAGCATGTTAGCAGAGCGATGCTACTGTGAACTGAGGAGCTATTTTCTTGATGTGAGCTTCTACTCAGGGTTTTTTCTTCCAGTTCAGAGCAGAAATGCTTCTGTTAAGATACTGGATGTTGTCGTCCCCACACACACACACACACACACAATTTTAATTATAAGCTAGATATATTTCTACTAATGGAATTAGTTTGCTAACAGCAACAGGGATGAGTCAGTGAGTCAGTTGGGCTTGTGAATCATGATTCACGAGTCAGTAAAGTGATTCTCGAGTATTGAACGATTCGTTCACGAATCGAGCATCACTACTGTAAAGCCACCAGCACAGGACAGCTCAAGTTAGGGAGTGCCTTCATAGCTTTGAGCCATCCAGCTGTGCTAACTCTGCACTCGTTTTGATAACCTCTCCTCTTCTAATTCCTAATAATTGAACACTTCTAGAGACAACTATCACAACCATAAGGAACAAAATAAGACTTGCTGTTTTCAGGGTTAAATTCTGTTATTTGCTGTAAAGTGCATGAACTTAAATAGGTTTTGTAGGAATCATTTAAATGCGCTCCAAATTTCTTTCCCAAAAAAGGGAAACTTCTACAAATACTTGTGCAAAAATAGGCAAAAATACTTCCACACCTTTTAGTCACAAAACGGACACTGCACCTCTTTAGTAAAATCTTACAGTGACTTTTTAATGCAAAAGAAGGTTTCGCACTGCTGCAGCTTGTTAGTCTGGCCTCAAGTCTCGTAAACAGACTGGGCTATAGAGAGTTTTTCTACTCTGAGCACGCTTTACACAACTCCCCGAATTCTCCCATTCACACATGCACCGTTTTTCTATGTTGTTTCTGTCTAACGCTCACACATACACACTCATACTCCCATGAATGCACCAGAGAGCAACTCGGGGTCTTGCCCAGGATATTTGACATGCAGACTGGAGGAGACGTGGATTGAAGCATTACCTTCCTATTGATAGGTGACCTGCTCTACCATCTACCGCCTGAGCTACAGCAACCCCAATTGCAATTTATCATGGCTTTGATACAGGGATAACAATTAAGCTGCTGCTGTGTCATGTGGGTAACATTCCTGCTTCAGGGAAGCTCCTCCTGTGAGAGAGAACTACTGTGTTGCACTTTAGCCACATGCAAAACAAGCTAGCTTTGGAAACAATTTCATCTTTGAACTCAACTCTTGGATACATTTTTAGTCAAATTTGGTTACGTCAAAGGTGAATTTTCCATATAAAGAGGAAGTTTGAATGTAAACTTAACCTTTACCCTGAATTACCCTTAGTTAACCCTAACCACTGACGACAGCACTCAAACTCTCTGTAGGCTACACAAATGGATGAGTTATAGAATATACACTGTATGGACAGAACCAGCTGATATATTGAAAATGTATTAACAAATTGTCAGTTTATTACCAACACTAATCTCAGTTTTGCTATATTGCCTTACGATGGCAAAGAAAAAGCCTTGTGGACAAAAATGTAGCATCGTCTTCACAGTGTACTGTAAGTCTGCGCCGTGTGTTGAGGTGGGGGGGTGGTGCTCTTTTTTAATAAATCAGTGTATGTACTGAAGCCCTGGCCTGAGATCAACCACTGAACCACTTCCAAATGCATCAGTACAGAGAGGTCACTCACAGCCTCGTGGTCCGTCAGGTCAGCCAAAACGAAGCAGCGGTACTGCTGCTGTCCAGGCAGCGGTTTGTTGTAGAAGCCGCTGTATTTCTTTTCATCACCCAGAGTGAAGATCTCAGGGAGCGTATCCAGCTTGGCAGCGATGTAGGGCTGCAGGAAGTCATTGCTCTGCCTTTTCCTTCTCTGCAGGCTGCTGTCAGCACCGGACTCCAGAAGCTACCAGAGGAACAAAACATTATGAGTTGACAATGGAGCAAAGTGACACAAGATGACATAACAAACCTCATCTCTAGATGAAGGCTCTCTTTTCCTGACCCTCTGTGACAGTTATTTTATTTACTTGTTTTACTCTTATTTTTTTCTAATCCAAACCACCTTTAACTGTTGATCTGTTTTCACTTAATTAAGGTTTAAAGTCTGCATGTCGTACTGTAACAATGCTAACAATATAACCAGGCAAGAAACGAATGGCTCCACAAAGCAACAATGCCACCGAGCCTTCAACATGCAAAATTCAAAAGCCAACGGGAGATGTCATGAGGGTTATATTCATCCTTTTATATACACTCTGCAGTTTTTATCACCTGTCTTATTGATTAGAATGAACTAAATTGCTGAGACCTCTGTGTGACTGGTCAACAAAGTCAAAAGAACCAGTAAAGATGAGCAATGTGTAAAAAGATGAACAAACAGGGTTATTAGTTAAACCACTTTATTATGAAATTTTATTGTTCAAAATGTTTGAAATGATGCTTCATCGTGCTGCTGATGCACTACACGTTTGTTCAGCAGTTTGAGCAAAGCTGCAATTTGCAAAAACATACTAGAAAATTGATTTCTCTAAGTCTAAATTGAAGCAATAAACCTTTTAATTAATTTTATTTGATTTGATTTTGTTTTTGAGCCACGTAAAAATGTTACTTCTATCTTATAAATTTGTAAATTTGTGGTGCACTCAGTGAAAGGTGCATGTTGGAGGATGCCAAACGCCTTACAATTAGCAGGATTAAATTCATGAAGTCTGAAGGTCCTCTGTGACATTCAGGAAGTACCGAGGGTCGTGGCTTCATTACTGACACTCAGCTGCTCTCTGTGTGTCTCTTTCAACCACCTGCTTTTGTCATTTTAGACCAACACGTCCCTGCAAACCAACAATATTCAAGGTGACACTGACATGATGGGGATGGTTGTCTGCAGCAAAGTCACTTCAATCATATGGATACATCTTCTTCCTTTTTGGGTGCTGACATTTCAAACATTCACTTTGTAAGAAAAAGGAAATGTAACAAACAGCCGGTTGACAATATTTCACTTAAAAACATCACAGATGAAGCTACTGGATCCCTTTCTTTGTGCCAGTTTCAGATGCTGCTTCCTTCCTTTTATGGTCCAGTCCTTGGTCATCTCACCCGACTTATCCCCAAAGATATATCTACTTTCTTAGATAACTAATAAACTCAAACACTGCTGCTGGAAGGAATTTGGACCTTTATAAGCTAAATTACTCCTAATGTTTAGGTCTCCCTTTCCATCTGGAAAGCACCAATTAGCTGTATGTTTGGCTCGCAGGGACATGTTGCCATTAATACATTTGACCTTACTAACCCCGTTATGTCCTAAGTAAGCAGGGCGTATAACGCTGGGGCTCATCCAGGATATAAAAAAGGGAAATCTCTGAACTTTATAATCATGCCGTAGACCAGGGGTGGGCAGTTCCAGGCCTCGAGGGCGGTGTCCCTGCAGGTTTTAGATCTCACCCTGGGTCAACACACCTGAATCACATGATTAGTTTGTTACCAGGCCTCTGGAGAACTTCAGGACATGTTGAGGAGCTAATTTAGCCATTTAAATCAGCTGTGTTGGATCAAGGACACATCTAAAACCTGCAGGGGCCCTCGAGGCCTGGAGTTGCCCACCCCTGCCATAGACCAATCCAACTCAGGGCAATAAATAAATAAACAGAAATATTAAGTTCTGTAGAATGAATAGAAACCTAAAACTGACCCAACAACTCAAAAACAAAAAATACAAATATATGGATATATATGGGTAAATCACACAAGATATAATAAATAAGGATTTAACATTGTGCATGACCAGACTGAAACATGCACGTGGCCTCCCTTTGTTAGACAGAAGTAATGACAAGGTTGATGTGCTGCCAACCATCTATTAGAAAATGACTCCACTACAGTGAAGTGCTTTTGTCCAGCCAAACCCAGACAGTGATCTGCATTTTAGTGATCAACACAATCTGCAGTAGAAGAAGCTGATAGTGAGCAGTAAACCACAGACACTGAGCAACTCCATTACTAGCTGCTGTAGCTCCAAAATAACTGGGATATAAAAAGGCCAGAGTTACTAACAAAGACTAAAAAATACAATGGTGATAATGATAACTATAAGTTAGTATAATTACACAGTCTTTATGCATCAGCATCCTATAAAAACAAAGACAGACTTTAAGACTCAGCTTTAAACTGTTTATGCTTCTATTCTACAACACAAACCTTTTTACAGAGCTCATATTGGCCAGATTCAAATGTAACTGCACACTAATGCTTCTTTGATAACTGTGTGTTGTTTTATGCACACATGTATTGGATATGTTCAAGAGTTTCAGTTGAAGGTCCAGTTGTCAGTGTTTGGAGTGAGAGCTGGTTTCAGGAAAACTACAAAAATACCAAAAACGCGAGGTTGAGCACAAAATCAATTAGCAGGAAATCCCCTTTTTGACAGCAGAACAGATCAATAATGCGCCACAGGATGTAGCTGAACATGCTTCATTGTCAAAGATCAGGAGAAAAGGTTAAAAAAAGCCAGACAGCAGTATGAAGAGCTGTGGGCGCATTGGTCAGGGCTTTACCGTGTATGGATGAAATGAAGTGTTTGTTTGGTTTGTAATTGATGCACAGGAGTATCTGTAGGTTTGGTCTGACCGCTCCTGTTGCTTCTTAAAGAAGAGGTAAAATTTCCAGCAAAAACTCATCACATCTTTGATCCTGAAGTCCTGTAAAGATCTAATCAGTTATTCACACTGAGACGGCTGAATTAGCACCTTCAAGTCCAAAGAAATGGATGGATTGCTGCTTCTGAGCTGGGAAACAGTTGTTGCCCCATGTGAAGGGGCAAGAGAGCTGGGCCAGAAGCTTTTGAATTATTCGAATGTATCCCAAGCTCTCGGTTATGGTCCTGAGCTCTACATGCAGCCAAAATGAGATGTGTGTCCCAATTCATAGCTGCATCCTTCGGAGGACTTGGCTCCGCGGCCTACGTTGGCCGGGTCCTTCATAGACTGAGAAGGCCTGAAGTGCGAGGCTGTGAAATGGGACGATCTAGCCTTCAGATTTGGAATTGGCTGGGCCGCGCAATGAATTCTGGGATATGTTGGACCACGAAGGACACACCCAACCCATCCTTCAAATTCGGGGAAATGAAGGACGCATTTGTCGGGCGCATTTGGAGCAGCCTTCATCGCCTAGCTATGACAAAGGCTGCGCCCTGAACTGGGACATAGCTGTGGTGTCTAGTTTCTACACCTGCTACACCTTTACACTGAAAGTCCTACTAGTTTGGTTCAAGAATCTTATTAGAAACACCTTTTGGATGTTTTTCGACATGTCAAAAGTTACATTTCATGGAAGTTTTATTTATTTAAAAACATTTTGCAACGACACTTAATTTAAGGTAAAGACGCTGCTACACTAGCTGTTATAGTAAACACCATAAAATCCATTATAGCCAGTGTGACGTCGCCCATTGGTTTGCAAAGTCCTCTTTTGAAGCTTGAAGCGTTTTGGCTGTCTCCCTCGTACTTTATTGAAGCCGTGACTGATTAACTACAGGATACTTTAGCTACTTGTCTGTCACTACCCAAGTCATACATAGTTTCAGGGATTTCTATACAGTCTGTACAGCAGTGAGGATGAACCCCCCTCTGACCCTTGGAAATAATGCAGGTTTAAAGCTCTTCTACACTGGCTTGATTTTTTAAGACCTAGAAAGTCCATCTTTTATATTTTTATTTAGTTTATGACAGCAACTCTCCAGTTGAAGCAAACAAGGGTCTGGACTATGAGATACTCCAGATCTTTACCTTCATTGTTAGACCATTATCCACTTGCATGCATTTCATAATTTGTCAGGGGGGGGGGAATTAATGACAAACCCATAACAGTTACTGCACAGCTCAACCTTATCAGTGTGCCTGCAGACACAGTAAAAGCTCATCTCCTTTAGATCTTGCTCAATAAAGGCTCACGGGAAACAACGCAGTGCAGCGCCGCATGTATGTAAACGACAGCAGCAGCTCTGTTGTAGGTTAGAAAGGACTTGGAAGAGATACAACAAAATCAAAGCTAAAGGATTTTACTGACACCAGGTAATTATATACAGTTGCAGGTGATGCAAAAAAAGCCCCATTTCTCTCTTTAAATCTGTCGTTCTTAGTTGTTATTTTACGTTTCAGGAGCAGAGCTGACTCAGCAGTTAATGTGTCAGCAGGTTTTAAAGCAAGAACAAAGCAAAATCTCAGAACGATGCACTGCACTTAGTTTACTCTACGAAAAATTTATTTTTGAGTTGTAGATTCAACAAAATTAACCACTGAACCCTCGTGCCACCATTCAGCTCAACATTAACACAATATCGTTTACAAGAGGGGCCAACATAGCAGTGATGCCACACCACCCGTCTGCATTATGGGAGATGCAGCAAATAAAACTGAATCAAAAATAGAAACATAGCTTCAGACATGAGGTAAAATTTCCTTTTGCCACCATCAGTGGGGACTCTATGTACAAATATTCCTCAATCCACATATTGATGCATGATGATTTTTCTTTAATCGCCTCTATTTAGCCTCACAACATTTCCACTTGTAAACAACATTTTCGTTTGATAGCTTTTGACCACAAAATTTATTTTTTAGTATCTCTGACTGCATGACAGTGAGAACAGTCGAATCATTAGAATATTGTTTGTCTCTCCCATGTGTAACGATGCTAGAAGGGCTTCATCTTTTAGTCTGATTGGTTTGATTGTAAATGAAAACAAAGCTAAAACACATGCAGTGACGTCAGGCGGTGCTCTAAAAGCCGAAGAACGCTGCATTCCTTTGTAATCGACACACGAGGGTGGTTGGAGAAGCGGATTCATAATCGCAGCATTTCTGCATCAGAAGCTGTCAGCGATGTTTCAAACCTGCCAAGGTGCCACTAAATGATAAAAACTGATTCCCATTTATACTGCTGGGAACATTTTCCTGTAATGAAGGTGCACAAACTCTGTTTTGTCACTCACACTGCAATAACTTACATTTTCCTTCAGTGTTTCTCGCCCTTTTCCAGATAAACATGGGCAGAAAAACATTAAGCAGCTTTAATCACCTGTTTTCAATGTTATCAGTCGCATGCATATTGCCAGTAGGTTTCCTCCTCCACCTTATGCCAACCCTCTGTCACCTTACTGCTGCTTCTACCCTTCACACTGGGACTAATAGGTGAATTTAACTGCAATAAAAAACGAACAATAAACTGCAGTTCCCTCAATGGCCACTTGAGGCTGCTTCTGGTTTAATTTCCCAGTTTAAACCAGGTTGAGTGATTCTGTTTTTAGTGTTCCTGGATCACATTTACGTGTCTTTGCATGGTTTACCCTGCATGTGTGGATGGCACTGTAAGCTGTGCTCACACAGTCATTTCTATGACACAATCATGCTGATGTCGTGCTGCCCGAGGGCACAAACACCAATCCTGAGTTTTGGCCTTGATGACGAGATATTTAATGTCTTTGCAATTTTATGTTGAGGAACATTTTTCTGAAATTGTTATACAATTTGTAGATGATTTGTAGAGAAGCTCCGCCTCTCTAAGATGCTCCTAATCGTGTGACTGACCTACTGACAGTTATAGTTTCTTTTTTATACCCTCACTGCGGTAACACAGCCTTTTGTTTGCCCCGTCCCACTTTTTTTGAGACGCATTGCTGTCATCAAATTTATTAAAATTGAACATCTTTCATGTTTTAATATTTGATATTTTCTACGTTCCAATAAGGATAAATTACTGCAGCTTATGTCCCAACTTATTTGAAAGACTTTTTCTAGGATTTGACTTTTTACTTTTACCCACAGTTCACAAAATCCTTGTTCCATCCAGAGGTTTTATGTTCACATCTTTGCTCTACTAGATATCTCCAACACAGTCTGGCTGCTTTCTGTTTATCACTGTATAAAGACCGCCAGCTGGCAACAACAAGTTGTAATGGCAACAATTACAACTTTAAAACAAAAACTTTTGTTTATCGAGCAATAAATATGTTACAGCATTGCGAGGCTGCTTTTTACACACCTCAAATTATTGTTAATTTTTAAAGTTATTTAAGAAATAAGCAAAGCGATAAAAGTCTTAACTTTCACTATAAAGAGAAATCCAAATATCGTTCAGTCTTAATTTCTGAAATAATCAAAAATATGTAAAAATGTAGCAGCTTAAAAAAATGCATTATAACACAACAAAGAAGAACATTTTAATGATTGAATTAATTTTAATTTAATAAAATGATTAATTAATTAATAAAATGATTAATTAATGTGTTAATTAATTATTACATTAAAATTAAGTTTTTCAAGTTCTTTTTTTACTTTTACCCAGTGTTTACAAAATTTATGGCAACAATTACAACTGATAAAAGATCTTTTTTTAAGATCAGCAACAATGAAATCAAACTGAACTCTCCGCTCACCTCTTGTATGTCCATGTCTTCGGGGTTTTCCCATCTCCTCAGAGAAACTGGAGTGACGGGAACAACCACTATGTAGTACCACCTGCACAAAACGTACAATGCACCCATATATGAGCTTCAATGTTAAGAGAAGATATGATGAGTTTATGAGGAAATTCACCTGTTATCACAACACAAGAAGCACAAAGTGAATTAAAGACGTATTAAAATGCAGTTTACATGTATGCATGTGTCTAATCTTATCTTTTCCATAAACTTTCTGAACCTTCTCTTAAACAGATGGATTCACTGAGCCTAATGAGAAGCTCTGCTTTGGACATTAGCATCTTTCCTCCACTGACTCCACTCCTCTTAATTACTGCTTACTCGTGGGCTATTTCTTCAGAGAAACAAACACTTGAAACACAATTAATTATTTCTATGTGCTTGTCTTCTTGACCAAGCTGGGTAATAATATGAAATAAACTTCTTGTGAAATGCACCGTTTGCATTGGGATTCTTATTGCTGATTACCTCCCAAATTGCTTTGTGGTATCATGAGAGGGCTGCGAGTTGCAGCGGGGCGACTGTTGATACAGTCGTGTGGTTTCCTGCTGTACTCATGGAGCTGTGGGGCCAGAGGTTTGATTGTCTTGTTTGCACCTAAAACTACTCTGACCTTAAAGAAAATGCTTCTGCTTCTGATAATTGGCTCGCTGTGAAGTGGGTAAAACATGACAGGAAGTTAATGAAGAGAGGCTGTAATGGCTGGGCAAACACGCCAGAACTTTCTGGCTTTTTAAGATGTTTGAACTGCTAATACGCTGAGTGGATGTTGGGGAAAATAGCCTGATGGAGTGGACATTGCTGAGATTCACACGTACCCATACGGTCTGGCTCAGATTAGCTGACAGGACTCGCTGATACCCTGACACTCAACGCTCTTGGCGCCTAAAAGCCAACACGACGGTAACACAGTAATACTGAGATGAGGAAATGGAGGAACGGTCCGAATCACGGAAACTGTCAGTGTTAAAACAGACAAACTGACCTGACAGCCGCTGCATCCGGGACCTTCGGCAGGCTGATGGTCACTTTACCACCTTCCTCCACATCGATATGGTATCGAGCTGGTTTCACTGTCAGGAGGTCCGGAGCCGTTCGGATGGAGACCTGCTGCTGGAGGCCGCCGGCGCTATTCCCTCGACTCATTAGCACAAACGAATAATCGGTGTCTGGCTGCAGCTGTGTGATCAGCTTCCTCTTCAGGTTGCCTTGAACCTCCACACTCTGCTGGTTGTACAGAATCTACAGCAGGATGGAGTCACAGAGGTTCATTTACACCGTGCTGTAATAATGATCACTGTGACGTCTGTCATCACAGCTCTGTTTCACCCATGAAAGAGCGCTGAGCTTACCTTGACAGGCACTTGAGATTTGTATGTTTCCGGCACTTCCCAGGTGAGCAGGACCGAGGTCTTTGTCACGGCCGTCACACCAAAGTTCTTGGTGAACACTGAGGGAAGATCTGGATGATTATTAGGTGGTTAATTTGATTGTGAATATGACTGAGATGATTCAGTGCTGATGAGGAGGTGCAAGAAAAGCAAGACAATTAAGGGGAACGCGACCAGGTAGATCTCAGCACAGTTTTTAGGATTTTACTCTATAAAAGCACAAACAGGTGTTTGGCAATAACAAAAACTGCTGTTTCTCTAACGTCCACTTAATTCTGCCAATACATTTTTATACAACTCACTTGTTTCAGCTGTATTAAAGCTTAAACTTAAACATTATCAGTGGCATGAAAACTTTGACATGTGTGCAGCTGACAGATGTCGGCTCGATTAATGCCAGCCTGCAGGTTTGATAACTTTAATTGGAATTTTAATGCAATTATCTGAAAAACAATATTGCTTTGTGTGTAATTGTACTAACAGTCAAGAAAGCTTGTGCTCCAATTAGTGAATTATGCTAATCAGCAGGTAACTACATGACGCACCAACAGAATCCAGGCAAATAAAATAAATAACTATCATAGCAGTGAGCAAAGATGACGTGACACACATGGACTATGTAGGAAACTGTAAACAAACATAAACGATATAAATGAGTTTATTTAAAATTCCTCTTGTCAACATCATAACGAGCTTCATGAGGTTTTCATCTCAAAAGGTTTCCAATGAAAAGATCGTTGTAATAAATAACACAGGATTTAAGTGTAACTGTTTTCAGATGGTATGCTATAATGACTCAGTGAACTAAGTGGATTTAATCGTGTGAGACTCACAAACACTCACAGGAACGAGCTGCTTGCTTCCTGCATCAAATATGGGCAGAAAGTCCTTGTTGAGCATCTCTAGAGTCGAATCCTACAGGGCTGCAGTTTGCACATGCCAGCTAGAGCCAACGGTTATTAAATAAGTAAAAACTCTCCAAGTTGTCGGTGGAGTAAAGTCACTTGTGGCTCTACTTAATGTCTAAACTTGTTTTAATTTTCACTTTGAATCATACAAAGTTACTCTAGTAAACCCAGGAATAAAAAAAGGGTAGAAACTGAACATGATTTGTTTTCCTGATAAAGTTCTGCTACATTTTTTGAGTTGTGTCGAGGACCGGACAGAACTAAATGATACTGGGACTGGCCTCACCCTCTTTTCAGTTTCATCATCTTCTCATTCACACGATTTTCAGAAACTTGCTCTGACCTTGAGGTCGAGATCACTGAGATTTTTAGTAGATGCACCTCAGCCTGTGGCTCTCACCTGGCATGGAGGTGGACATGGTCCTGCTCTGGATGCTGGGGCTGATAGGTCCTCCGCCCTTGCTGGTGAAAGCTTGGACTCTTATGTCATAGGTTGTGTCAGGCTGCAAACCGTGGACGGTCATCTGTGTAGCCGTGGTAACGTTGGTGCTGTTGTTCGGGCTGTTAATGTCTCGGTACATCACCACGTACTTCACAATCTTCCCATTTCTCTCAGGCAGAGGAGGCGGGTCCCAGGCCAGTTTGGTGGACGTCGCAGTGAGGCCGACCACGCTCAGATTTTGCGGGTAGCTGCTGGGAACGTCCTCAGGGGTGCTGATCTCTTTTACGTACTCCTCCCCGTTCCCCGCTCGGTTTTTGGCACACAGTTTGAAGATGTACACGGCGCCCTTGTGGAGGCCGGTGACTGTGAAATGATCATCTGTTTTCTTGAAGTGTTTAATGGTGAAAGCTTCCTCCTCTGCTCTCTTGTACTGCAGCTGGTATCCCATGTGCTCCCCAACCATTTCTTTAGGGGGCTGCCACTGGATTAGAGCGGTGTTCCCGATGGTGGTGCTGATCATCATCGTGGGCTTTCCAGGAACTGCGATGCAGAAGACATTTGTAAATATTCAGCACTAAGAGACACATTTAGATATGATCGAGCTTGTTTCCTTAGTTGGTTGGAAGGTATAGGACCTGTTTTTGAGATTATCATAAAGGCCACACTGCTTTTTATTATCAGAAGAACAAAGACTGTTATTCAGACTCTTTAAACCTGTGTTGTTGTGTGTGTGTGGGTGGGTGGGGGTGTTTCCTAATGACCAGCAGGGGGCAACTCTTCTGGCTCCAAAAGAAGTCAAAGTTGCAAAGACGTCTGTTTGCAAAATGACTTTTTCTGATGAGTTCATAGGATGTTTAGATTATGGTTTAGTGAACCAGACGAAGCTTTGTGGCTTTGTGTGCAGTGCTGTTGGACTCTTAGTGCAATCTGCTCATTGCTAATGACATCTGGTTTAAAACACAAGAGCTGCTTCTCAGTATACTTGGGTTTACTTTTGTTCTTGTGAAATATCATCTGTCAATTCCAACTCAAAGGCTACGTTCACACTGCAGGCGAAAGCGCATCAAATCCGA